GGACGGGGAACTAGAAACATCTATGAGAGAGAAACATCAATCAGCTGTCTCCTGCACACCTCCCACTGGGGATGTGTCCGCAACCAAGGTATATGTCCCTGACTGGAATCGATCCTGGGACCCCTCAGTCTGCAGGCCAACACTCCATCCACTGAGCCAAACCGGTCAGGGCTAAAATCACTTTTTAAAAAATGAAGAGCTTCTGCCCTGGCCAGGTGGCTCAGTTGGCTGGAGCACTGTCCCATACACCAAAAAAAATTGCAGGTTCTACTCCTGGCCAAGGCACATACCTAGGTTGGAAGTACGATCCCTGGTAGGCACACCAATGGGAGGCAATCACTCAATGTTTCTCTTTCACATAGATGTTTCTCTCTCTTCCCCTCTCTCTAAAAACAAAAAGAAAGCATATCCTTGGGTGAGGATTTAAAAAAGTTAAGAGCTGCTGTTCAGAAAATGACACCATTAATAGAATGAAAAAAAAGCCCCGAAGTTGAAGAATTTTTACAACACATGAAACCAACAAAGGATTTGTATCTAATATGTATAAAGAATCACCAAAAAAAAAAAAATAAAAGGGGTCAAAATTTAAAAATGGGCCGAAACCTGTTTGGCTCGGTGGATAGAGCGTCGGTCTGCGGACTGAAAGGTCCCAGGTTCGATTCCGGTCAAGGGCATGTACCTGGGTTGCGGGCACATCCCCAGTGGGAGATATGCAGGAGGCAGCTGATTGATGTTTCTCTCTCATTGATGTTTCTAACTCTCTATCTCTCTCCCTTCCTCTCTGTAAAAAATCAATAAAATATATTTTAAAAAAATTTAAAAATGGATGAAATACTTGGACAGGCATTTCTTTCACCCTAAGAAGAAACCAATAATTACATATAAAGTCCCACCTCATGAACAATCAGAGAGCAAATCAAAACCAACAAGAAGTACCACTTCACCCTCCACTTTGGCACAATTAAAAAACTGGACAATTCCAAGTGTTCGCAAGAACGTGTAGCAACCGAATGCGTACATGGTGGTGGTTCGATGTAAACTGCTGGAGCAACATGGAAAGGCAATTGGATGTTATCTTGCGAAGCTGCGCATGTGGGTGTCCTATGATCAGCCACCCTTACCCATGTTCACCAGCCTGTATTTCTGAGAATGGTCCTAAAATCTTTGGTTGTAACAAACCCAAAGTGAAATTTTAATGTCCACCAACTGAAGAATAGGTGAGTAGTCAATGGTGTACTTATTCGAATGAGTACTATATGGCAGTGAAAAATGCATGTTGCACCCACGACCTCTGGCACTGTTCTAGGCACTGGAAATACACAGTAAACAGGTTTTCGGGCGCACTGACCTACATGGAACTGCCCAGCGAGATGTATACGGAGGGGTGGTGATCAGAGCTGTGCCAGGGACAGGGCCCAACCAGGAGAAGCTGGGGTCTGGGGTCATCCAGAAAGTAAAGGCTCAGTTTGGGCGAATCAGGGAAGGCTTCCTGGTGGAGGGTACATTCGAACTCACCACTGATGGACGAATAGGAGTTTTCCGGTTATACAAGGGAGTGAGGATGGGATCCAGTCCGGGCGTATGCACAGATCCACGGGCTGAGTGGCTTAAAGAGAGTGAAACAGACACACAGAGGGAGACTTAGGCCGCGGCAGAGACACAGAGACTGGACAGAAAGAGGCTCAGAGGGAGACCATGATGGAGAAAGACATGGAGGCAACGATTCAGAGGAACAGGGCGACCCCGGGAGACCAAGAAATAGAAAAACAGAGGCAGAGACGGAGACGTAGACAGAGGAATAGAGATACTCGGGGCGAATAGAGGCAGCAAACCCACAGAACGACTCCGGGAGACACGAGAAGCAGGAGGGAACCTGCGTGGAGGCGGCCGCCCTCACTCACTCTGTTTGGGGAGCCCCAGCCCGGCTCAGGCCCTTTAAAGCCCCCCCCCCCCGCTCACC